GAACTCATTTATTCAATGTTTGACTTTAAAATGAAAAGAAAAAACAGAAAAATAAAACTAAAGCTAATTTTCTTTCCACATTAAAATCAAAGAATACTGAAAATTTCAAACTTTATTTTCTTAATGTTTGCCTCATTACTCTTTACAGACRACAGGAAGTGAAGTTTGACTTCAGCATCTGAGGTTTRGGAGGTAAAAAGTGTGACCAGATCCTGTGGGCCATCACATTGTGTTATTTTAATATGGACACATTCATTCCTCTCTACTTTGGCTGTTATTACACAACAATGTTTTTTAAAGGTTTTTAAGAAAAAAGTAGCCTACATATTTTTATTAAATACATTTTAAAATTTATCAAAAAAATGCTTTGGTTAAAAATATTTTAACTCTATTTCATTTTTATTTTATCATGATAAAAAAACCATAAGCAGGTCAGATGATCTTGCTGTGTTTCTTGTGTGAATCTCTTACAGACAGTTGCTTCACRGTGTGTTTTCCTTCAGGAAAAAAAGTTTGACAATTTTCTCTCTGAGAATCATCTTTCACTTTCCTCACCTATTTTCCAGTTATTATTTTGCTGAACTTTTGGCATAGTTTCCATCACATTCTGCATAAATAAAACCTATTTTCTTTCACATGTTTAGATATTTACAGTGGCGGCGGTGCGCAGGACAGCTGCTGCGCGTTTGATTGGCAGCCGCTGTGTCTTTGCGTTTTTCTCTTCTCTCCTCCTCCTTCTGCATAGAAGGCAGAGAGAGAAATAAGGAGGCATTTTCTAATGAACTGCAGCCAATAAAAAATGTCTGTCGATTGTTTCCCTTTCTTTTTTATTCTTTTTTTTGTCTTGTCATAATTTGATCAGTGGAATGCGGACTTTGTTTCAACTTATGTGACGCATGGACAATGGTGAAAAATGCGAGACAGTCACGCACAGTTTGCCTGGGGGTAAATTACCTGCTGATTATGGAGAGGAGCTGCTTCAGCGGCTCTCCTCCTGTCCGAGCGCGCAGCGCGTTCACCGAGGGACAGCGCAGGAGTGAGSTCTGCGGGCGTGCATGTGTGTGTGGTGAAGGGAGGGTGCGAGGGCAATATTAATAGTAATATTAATACTGTTGCCATTATAATTGTACACTTAATAAGAAGTGCAACCAAGGGCGACAGATGGAGCATTAAAAAAAGGCGGGTTCGACAGGGGCACKTGATGGTCTGGAGGGAAAAGGGCAGGTGCTCAAGCACCACCTGACRTCTATCTGTGCACGTCCCTGTCTAGTCTGGTTGTGGTTTGGTGTATCTGGTGTCATCCCATGAATGGACCACTTCGGGCTAACCCAATCCAGGCCACCAAAGGGCCRTCATTCTTTGCTGCATCAGGGCCGAGTGTTAAAGTGTTAATGCACTGTGTGGGCCAGAACTTGGCCAGACAAATGTTGCTAAGTGTGAAATACGGAAAACTGTTTTAATGAATTTTAAGATTCTTGATAAGATGCTGCTTGTAGTAAAAGGGGAGTTTTTCCTTTCCACTGCTGCYAAAGTGWTGCTCAAGATGGGAGACTGTGATAAGTGATTCAACACAATGGGCCTCATGCAAGAACCGTTCATACGAACAGATTTGTTCTTATGTTGTGTGTTCGAGTGATTTAGGAGAATTTGTGGCGTTTATTGATCCCAGAGGTGTTGTTGTAACTCATTTAAAGTATTTTTGAATTTGAATTCACGAATTTTCTCGTATTCTAAGATTTTTTTCAGATACGAACAAAATTCACAAGTGATTAATTGTTGTTTTTTTTTATTTATTTTTATATAGTACCATGGCATGACATTTGTTGTGACTGCTATATAAATAAACTGAAATGAAATGAATTGAATTGAATTTTTTTTTTAATTTGTGTTATTTTTTAAGTCTAAACAAAGGTTGTGTAATGGCCAATTCTGGTGCATTTTGCATGATCATTACATAAAAACAATCCGTCACATGTTTCAATGTAAAGTTAATTACTAGGAATGATAAATACTGGTACTCTAGTTCTACTCCAGTTGTTATACTAGAGTTTAAAACTAGAGGAGCCTCTTYCCATTGTTGCTTTATGATGGTGGATTAACAATAAGGTACCTGTACCTCCACCTGGTTGGGGTGTAGTAACATATWTATAATAGTTGCAAACGTAGTCGATAATATTAAAAACAAAATGAGAGCCAGAGAAATATATAATTTAATGGACTTTGAGCTCTAATAAAGTGACCTGATGATTTTGATACCCATCCCTGCCTCACCTGCACAGGGTTAATGCAAACACTTAATGCACTTCCACTCTGAACACGTCTTCTCTTTCTCCTCACATGGCCTCACTCTGATCCATCACAACATGGCTTCCTTCTCTCTGTATTTGTCGGCCATTTTAGAAATATTTTCTCCTCTTCCTCTTCCTTTGTCTCTTGCCTGGTTTTCTCTAAGCTCCAGGGCTGAACCGATAATAAACAGAGAAAACACCAACTTCTCCTTTCTGCCATTTACCATTCACACTTTCCCATCCTCCATATTTCTAAATTTCCTGCCTCCTTTTTCTATTGTCGTCCCCCCTCCACCCCCCACCCCCCCATCCAGCACACAACCTCTTCATAGCCCCCCTTGCCATGCTGCGATAATTAGTCAGCGCTAAAATAATACAGCCTGGAGAAAACAACAAGAGCTGAGCAGAGGGCTTAGCTCTGCTGAGAGGAAAGGAGGGAGGTAGAGGAGGGTGGGGAGAGAGACSGAGGAGAACGGCGTGTGTCAGCCCATTTCAAATGGCAACCGTCGGATTCTTGGTGAATGAGTTTGTGTGTTTGTTCGTGAGCGTGTGTCGCCCATTCCGTCCTATCTCTAAAACACCTAGAAATAGATCCGTAAGGCAGGAAAGATGAAGACAAATGTGCAGAGATGAACAGGCCGTGCAGATGCCACTGGTGTGCAGTCACAAGTGGGCGTCGGTACTTTATAAAACTAAACTCTGATAACGCAGTATATGAGTCTCCAATTGTAAAAGGACCAGATTAGTCAATTTTTGTTATTCCATTGCTTCCCTGATTATCTCAGCTATTTCAGGTAGATTCTACAGGGAAGCAGTTCTTACAACCAAAATGACTGAAACTCCATCAGTGTGTGTGTTAGGGGTTTTAATGTATATGGAAATGTGTCTGAATCCCTTGTTTACTTAYGTATTCATAAAGCTACATTCTGTACGTGCATTAATATCTTGACATGCAGCCCGTGCGAACGTGTATTTATTATCCAGGGGGTGGAGACAGCCCACAGGGTTGAGAGCAGTTCACCGTAGTTTCATTACTCTATGCTAATCATCAGCCAACAGCAGTCATTTCTCATTTACCTGCAGGTCCTTCAGAGCCAAATCTAACCCCTGTGTTGGAGTGCAAATATGGAATTGCTTATTTGGTTTTTATTTCTTGTTTTTTATTTTATTTTATTTTTTTAGCAAACACTCCAGATATTGCCAATACACGGTTCCTTTGATATGGAGATCTACCCAGTGTCTTTTATCTTTAGAGGTAGCTGGTTGTACTGATGGCATAACCAACACAGTTTGCCAGCATGCCTTATTTTAAATGAAACACAGCTGCATGTAGCTGAAATGGTCCTGACACTGTAAATTAACATTTCAAAGCTATGCAAGAGTCAGCGCCGATGTAGTAGTATTTGGTGCAACTGGAGCAGTTTACGGTCCTTATAACCATTCAAGAGTTCACCTTTCTGCTTTATTTGTTTATCGTAGGAGATGTGAGTCTTTTGTTTAAATCTTTTTGACTGACAAAGTCCTTCATTGTTTTTGATAGCGATACTCATGTCCRAAAGTGACATGATTTGTGGCAACCATCAGCGGTAACATACAATAACACAATAAGATCCAACATAGAAATATTTGTCTGGCCCAGTTCTGGCTGACACAACGAACAAAAGCTCCTTCTCCACAGGTGTGCCTTTAAGCGGTTCTCATCGATACAGCCTCGGCCAAATTTCTATTTTCAGTTCCAACTGCATTTTTGGATCTTTCCCAACAGTGGTTCCAGGATGGTCAAAACCAGTATTGTGYACAAGCAATTTTAACATCAGCAAACCCATAGACTGACTGAGCCAAGGTGGAAAGTGCAAACTCTGGAGAGAAGCGACAACCTTTTTATCTGTTTTAGGAGACAAGCACAGACAGATTGAGTTTGGYGGGGCAGCACGAAATGAGCAGGAATACTGGATGGTTTTGGACTTAAACAATGGCACAACAAATAAAAATAAGACAATAAAATCACAATGGCTGAAGCTGCGTTCTGACGATCTTCCCACAGAGTGACCGACACACTGCCATGGAAACACATCTACACTTGAGTAAAACCGATCAGACAAATCAGTTAATAAGACTTGAAAATGGAGAAGGGACTTAATACTTGTACCAAATATTGCAAAAACTGCATCTTTGAGTGTCTAGAAAAGCGTTATATAAGACTAAAGCATTATTTTTATACTTGCCATGCCAGCAGTGTCCCACACCTGTCTGCTATATGGGATTGTTTTCCTGGTGGTGCAAATGTAGATTCTTATAATTTCTTTATAATGGAACACAAAATTACCACCATTAGAGTCCTTTAATTTGTTTAGACCAATAAAATACTTTTAATACCACATTGTTTATAGCTACCAATGYGTAGGTTGAGCACTTTCAATACACCTGTATATAATAAAAAGTATTAAATTTTCAGTCATGATAGAACCTCTTAAAATGTTCTTCCCATTTCATAAATACATTCTTTTTTGTGTGTTCTATGAAAAGTGCACTTTTAACATGACRCTTTACTTTGACAAGAATAAATAATAATAAACAGATATTTGTACCTTTGTSATAATATCTATTTTGAGTTTATTCTGGTTTTGTGTTTCCGATCACACGTCATCCTTTTCTTCATCTGGTTTCTAGTTCTTTTGCCAAACCTGTGTAATTTCTCTCTGTGTTCTGCAGCTGGGACAACTTACATCTTCGGCCGAGGCGGAGCCCTCATCACATACACCTGGCCACCCAATGACCGGCCGAGCACACGGGCAGACCGGCTGGCAGTGGGCTTCAGCACGCAGCTGAAGGAAGCCATTCTGGTCAGAGTGGAGAGTGCCAAGGGACTGGGAGATTACCTGGAGCTGCACATAGTAAGAGATTTTTCAGAAATATATATATCTATGTATTTATGCTGGGGATGTGGAAAGGAGATGGAGAAATGCAAAACATAACATGTTCTGTTTGAGACATCTGCAACACCTTGGGAATTACATCTGTAAATACACTGTGTCCAAAATAATGGTCAAAATTCCCTTAAAAATGTTATTTTTGGGGATTCTTCATTCTATCTTTTCTGAGAAAATGAATCTTATGCAATTACGACTTTTAGATGTTTGCTTTGWGGTACAAAAAAGTCGTTAAGGAGAACAAGTTCATACTGTAAAAAAATGATTAATTATTTGCAAGGGCTTTTTATTCCTAGTCATCATCATTTCTGTGTTTATACCTTTCATACGTTATGCTTAAAGGTCATTTAAAGCCACCTCTAATGATAAATTGAAATGGCAATTAGGGAACAGCAGACATTTAAAAATGCATTTAACGGGGCTCTAATTGTGTTGTTGACCTAATGCTTCATCTACTCACTTTCCCATTCAGTCATTTTCATGGTGGGGTTTCTGTTAATTACCATGCAGGACTTACAGCTGGATCATCGGCAGCACTCACTGTGTTACTGGACTCACACAATTAAAGAGCGTGTGGAGTCAAGATCAGCACTCGTTTTACTCTACCGGGTGGTGGGAGTGATACAGTAGCGATAAGCTTTGAGAAGACACTATCTCTGGTATCGCCATGTATCTGCTCTTAGCCTTCTGTACAGATTTTTTTTGTGTGCGCTCACACTGCTTCAACATCCCAACGACCCCAATTTGTTTGGTTCTACCTGTGCCTGGAAGCGACAGGAACAACACTGACCTAAGGTCACTTCTCAGCCAGTGCTCCGTAAACTGAGAGTGACAGGGTGAGGAATGATGGGAAATGGAGAGGGATGGGTGAAAGAGTGGATAGGTAGAGCTGCAGAGKAGCCCATATAGGTCAAGGCCAATTTAAATGCTTTTAACAATCAGTGATAAATACTGATCATGACTGTAATAATGAAAGATTATAGTTGGAAATTTAATGGATTCAACAAGTGATGAGGTGGAGAAGTGATGTATYTGAGGTCAACTACAGCAACTCTAAACTGAAACGGGTCATTCCAGTAATGGGTCATAATTTGTTTGTTCTTTTAAAGGCTCATCATTTTAGGTAACGAGGTGTCTGTAACCTGATGTTGGCTTTTAAATTTAATGTTTGAAGCTATGAGTATGTTAACACTTTCTGCTCTGGCTAAAAGATATTACAGCTTGGAAGTAATTTTACACAAAGTAGCATACTTTTATAAGCAAGGATAGTAACAAAAACATTTGTAACTCTAAAAGGTATAGAGGTGAACATGAATAAAAAAATAACAACAGACATCAATTATCCTCTTATTTTTTATGTTCGAGCTAGCACTAGGATTTCAGGACAGCTAGTYGCTACAAGAAGTTAGAAAGCTTATGTTAAAACTTGAAGTTGTTGAATTTGTCATTGAAGCTATAAGTGCATTAGTATACCCAAGTGAAAACAATTTAGGCAGTTGATGTTAGTATTGGTAAGTGGGGATGGCTGTATAAGCGAGTGCCTCATAGGTGTCCCAGTCTTTCTCCCCAGAAAGACACTGARCTTTATTCAAACCTTCGCACTCCTTGGATAAAGGATACAAGGTCTGAATCACTTAGAACTCCAAGCTTCTTGTGGTCCATAAAGGGTTCCCCAAGGTTTCTTTCTTTTTGACTGCTCAAATAGTGCAAAGAGGTCTCTAATTCAATGCTACAGACACCAGACACACCATTGTCATGGAGTTCAATCACCATTTTTTGGTGGTTAAGCAGGTTGTGTTCAGTAAAAAACTCCAACCAGTGTGCTTCAAGTTTATTTTTTTCTTGTCAGAACAATGAGAGCTTTTCTAAACCTAAGATTTGCCCATCAGTTCCTGTGACTGTCTGCAGTCCTTCAGCTCCCTCCAGCAGACTGTGTTGACATCTAATCCTGGCCTGGAGAACAGTTCTGTAGACTGTTGCTGGGAAACCTACAACAGGTTCTGGTGCAATTTAGGCTATTGTAGAGTGTTGGTTTATATATTGGTGTTGCTGAAAATCTTGCTTCAGTACAGGCAATTAATTAATTGCCATCCAATTATAATGCAATTTTTGAGACAAAATTTAAAATGTCGCAAAAACGAAAAGTGAATTAGGCGTGTTTCCATCTACTGGTTTGGAGCCAATCAACCAGGCTACACAAAGTGTGATTTCATCAGCCTGGCTATAATAATAGGGAGCAGAGGTTGCAAACTAGTAGGGACCACACAACTTTGGACAGTGGAGCAAAGGCTTCAGGAATGTGYTGCTATCGGGCAAGTTGTAACTGTTCTGTCATGTCAACCAGTACTGGCGATGTCACATGCTTTCTGGAGACATGGAGAAAGAAATCTAATTCTTATGGGAATATCTGGGAAGACGCCAACACCATGTGAGATAAATATTTGCTWTGTCAGAACATAATCTGCAACAATTTTCAATCTCCTCTTTTGCGCATGAACTCTTTTTTAGAAAATCCAAAAACCACCTGAAGTGAGCATAAAGACTTTTGTGAAAGTGAAGATGTTCTTTCAAATTTTGCCATTTCCATCAACTTTTTCCAATGTGATACTTCTGAACGCAAGTATAAAAAGCGTTAATGGAAACACAATAATTAGGTAATATTATGCCTGTGTTCATCAACATAGGCAATTAAAATACTAAAACAAAGATATTAAAGCACCTTCAGTATTCATAATGTAAAGTAGTCATTGGTATTTGCACTATAGAGCATTGTTGTAAAAGGTTGTATCTCATTGTAGTGACTCTGAGTTGGCAACTCAAACTCGATTCAGTATTATGCAAAAAATTATATTTTTTGATTGAATTCTTAATACATTTTGCGTGTTTTTAACAAAGGAACCATCAAGCAATATTAAGCAGCTAATCACACCTTTTACCAAAATAAGAAAAGGAGTTTGAGACAGCTGTGACCCTAATTTTTTTTCAAAACTCAAGTATTAAAAACTGCAGGCCTCTGCAATGCAAGTGAGGAAACTGAAACCCCCCACAAATGTTGAAATATATGTTTGCCAACTAGTCACAAGCAGTCACAGCCCAGTGAAATATCACCTTAGTTACCTCCCACCACCATAAACATCTACCACCCTCTCCCAAGAAAGTGGTTCTCCATCACACRTAGTATCCACATCTAGTATATTTATTTACGGAAAGACATGCAGTAGAATGTATGCACTGAAGATAAAGTCAGTCGACATGTTTGCAGCAACCTTCCAGGTAATTCACACAAATGTTTCCTTTGATGATGAGATTTATTCATGAGGGAAGCCCCTAGATTTGCTCACTTACTAAATATAACAACCAAAATACTCAAGCCTTTCATTTAGGTTTTTCTTTTAATTGTTCATACACATGTAAACAATAAATTAAAATTGAAACAAGAAATACAGTCAGCTAAAGTTAGGCTTTTCACAGATTTATTTGAACACATTTTCAACTTGGATTTGTGTTTTTGTTGTTTTAGGTGAACTATGGTGCATTTTTCCAACCTAAAGGAATGACTKCTCGCTGTTTTTCTCAGCCTGTCGCTCATGATCTCTCATCAGTCATTCTTTTTCTTGCTCTTCTCTCAAGTGCATATTCTCTATCTAACTTCAGTGTTTTTCATTTACTCCCTCATTCCCCCATGTCTGGCTCATTCATCCTCGCGCTCTTTCTCTCTCACACACACATCAGTGCCTCCGACATGCCAGCCCAGCTCCTCTGCTCCCATTGCAATTACATTTCATTTGCTGCCGTTCCTCACGAGTCGCTCCCCTAAATGACTCTGTTCAGCCCATGGTGGGTGTTTTGGTCCTGTTAATTATGCCTGTCTCTCTTTGAAGGGAGAAGTACAGGCAAATTAGACCTGAAAACCTTTGAGCCATAGCCTCATATCATCCCACCTGATGAGGGCCTCACGGACCCAATCAAACGACCAAATGGCTCTGTGTTTGGCCATGGTGGCCTTGAGTTCCAATATGTGGAACTTTGTACGTTTCACCTTGTTTCAAAAATACTGTTTCACTTTTCATTGTAGATTGGATTGATTCAAGGACTCTAATGGGATGCCAAAAGTCTTAAACCTTATCGGCCCATTTGAAGATTAATATTCTGAAAGCATCTTGGATTTAAATTCTGATTTTAGGGTTTGTTTTTAGAATCTCAATAATCGTGAGTTAGACAGGTAATACCAATAAAACCAGTAATTGTTGGCCTTTYCAATAGCTTTTTTTTAAATCAGTACCTCAGAAACTATGATCACGGGTATTTTTATGTCATTACAAGAAATGACACAACTCCAGAGGATGTTGTTTCTTMCTGTCTAACAGAAATACGAGCACTGGTTGGAACGCCTGATAATAACATGCCACCAGGATGTGATGGAACATTATTCCTTATCTCGCTCAAGCCACCCGTCTCTTTATATACCCCAGCCTCTCTTTGTAGACCTCCTACTCTCYCTCACCACTCCCTTCTGTGATTTCTATCCATTTATACTACAAGGGGTTAGACATCATTCATTCCACCTTTATGACATGCTATCATCACGCCCTGGGGTGGGAGATGTAAAGACTTAGTTGTGGAATAAAGCGTTGAATCCAAATCTGCTGACTGGGGCTGCTTTGAAAGGACATGGCATGCCCTTACAAGACCTTGATTGGTGCACTTTGATAATTATTTAGTGTTATTTCTTTTTTAACGTTTTTGTTAATACAGGACATGGTATCATTGGCATTTTGAGGTGTAGATGTAATATAAATGGATCATAATTGAACAGACCTAGCACATTTTTTATACAGTGCAGAGTTGCTATTGTGTCTATAAATATTCTTGGTAGGTTGTACTGTATGCATAAGTCACGTTGGAGTACATCAGTTGTGGGTCACAGTTCAGTATCAGTTCAGGACAGCATAAAGAAAGTAAAA